AAAACCAAATGACTCATCACTGAGCTAGGAGACAACCACTATAAAAATGTTTTCATAAATATTTTCTTATATTTGACCTTATCCAAACATCTCGCAGCCACTTTTCTCCTTACCCACCCAGGCTTACAAACTGTGCCTGAATTTTGTGGGTATTTACTTGGCATTTCACAGGAGGAGCCAACATGGCATTAACCTCTTCCAAATATATTATCAGAAATGGGCAAGAAATTTGGTCCTGCCTTGACCTCGCTGTTGACTTTTCTCTGTCAGCTATGTTCATTGATATCTGCAGGCTTTCCCTGCTATAAATTTGCTATGCATGACAAAATAGTCTCTCTTAAAAATTAAATGAGGGGACGGGGAGATAGCTCAGTAGAATAAGTGCTTGCCTGGCAAGCGCAAAGGCCTGAGTTCGATCCCCGGTTCTGCCAAAAAAAAAAAAAAAATTAAACTATATTCAAAAGCTTTTTGAGTGAAACACTTAAAAAGCTTGTTAGAAATAAATTTTTAATTCTTTTCTCAGATCATTATTCATTCATATCTTAAATAGACATACTCTGGTTCATTTTCTATTTACACTTATATGCTTGTTCAGTTGGACTTGATGGCTAGGAAGTGTTTGAGAAATGAAATTGCACAAGGGAAAAAGTAGCAAAATTTTTCTAAACTCATTATTGACTTACACTCTTTAGAGTTCCTCTAAAAAGGTATGATGATGATATATTTAGTTTATTAGTGTGTTTTAATTAGCTATGTGGGATTTCAGATAACAGCTTGAATCTTGTAGTTTTATTTTAATTTGGTACATCTTTATTTTTTCTTTCTGGTTCTTTGCTTATAAAAACACTATTTTGGAATACACAAAATAAACTTCTAAGTGAGAACATAAAATTGTGAAAGTAAAGGTAACAGAAGAGATTTACTGTTAGTGATTTTGGATTCCTTAACCCTAATTTAGCAAGCTTGTGGCCGTATGTGATGAGAGTGGTGTCTTTCCCAGCTGGCCAGATGTAGGTGACTGATAATTACCTGGCTCTGTAACTTCAGATACACACAGAGACTTCATTTCATTCCTCTCTGAGTTTGCTACGAACCCTGAGGATCCACAGACAGACCATGATAGGAGGGGATTTTCAAAGTTCTCAGAGACTCTTCTAGTTTCCCCAATTGTGTGGGTGTTTACAATTAGGAATTTCAGACAATGTCTGATCACAGAACAGCTCTTTCTCCCAAACAACTCTGCATGCAGTAATGTTGGGCTGTGCATGTCCAGGGGCAATCAGCAGCAATCAGAGGCAATTTCAAATAAATAAAAATCTCTGAGTCTTCTATTCTCCTCAAGCCTTTGACCAAGGATGCCTCAGCCCACCAGTGAGGTGGCATTTATTTCTCATGACTCACTTCCTGGCTTCCGGCCCTCTGGGATCTGGTTGCAGACTTTGTCTTGCTGAGGTTCCTCCTATTCCTCCCTTAAATGACCTCTTTCCCACCAATAGCCAGATCAGTCTGAATTATGAAATGAAAGGAATCTTGGACATAATGGCACAGAAAAAGGCTACAGCCAAAGCTGGAGAACTGGCACTTCTGTCCTAGTTGAGCCCTCTGGTAAGCCCTTAACAAGTTCACTTAATCTTATGAACCTCAGCCTTGTCATCTTTACAGAGGAACAGCTTCTGTGCCAATCTTGTAAGGTTGTGTAAGTTAAGAAATAGGCTGTTTGCACCTGAGCGCACCCATATCTGTTGCTCTGTTTTTGTTTTTGAGACACGTTAGGGGATGCTCCCTGTGTATTGCCATTTCTATGACATCCATTTTCCAGTATGACAGCACTGTTTTTTCTTTTTGAGGCAAGGTCTCACTATGCAGTTCAGGCTGGGCTTTGTAGCCAAGGCCGGCCTCAAAATTGAAGCAATCCTCGTGCCTCAGCCTCCCGAGTGCTGGGATTATACACGTATGCCACCATACCCGGTTTGACAACATTTTAAACACTATTTAAAATTGAAACCACTTCCACTCTCTTCTTTCTAAAAAGATTATTCTAGAATTCTTCAGTTAAACGTTACTGTCTATCATTTGTACTCTTTCCCACTCAGTGGTAATAAATCAAGGCATGTATTGTGAATTAAAAATTGTCCTGTGGTTCCAAGCTATGTGTTGGCTCAGTGGGTTCCAGGAAAGAGGAGGAAATCTGTACAAATAAAGGGAACAAACAGGAGTGGGAAGATGCTAGCGAGAAGATATTCCAAGCCTCGGATTACTCTAAATACCACGTTTGACCCAAGACACTGGATTTTTATAAGATTCTGAAAAATAACTTTCAGGCTAGTAATCTGCCTTGTAAAGCAGTCTTCAAATCCTTTTCTAAATTTAAACCAAATAAGTAGGTGGCTGTCCCCAACATCCAGAGCTCTGAGGATAGAAAATATTAAGTCCACATTATAGATGCGAAAGCCAAAGAGACATTCTCCCACAAGAGACTCATTTGCTGAAGAAAACTTAAACTTCCAGGACTTGGAAGAATGAAGGCCCTTGTTAACTGACAGGCTGGTAGGTCTCAAAGGAGCAGATGATGGCTTTCACCTGTGTCTCAGGTAGCCCAAGATAGCCTACCTATTTTCTCACTGTCATTAATCCAAGACTGACAGCCAGAAATCTGCAGCTTAGGTCAAACGGGTTTCAATCTACCCTTCTTGACTGCTGGAAGACCAGAGAAGTCAGCACTGATAATTATGTGAGTATTAAAGGTAGAAACTATATTTATGTTTGGCACAAAATGTTGATGATTTTTATATCCTACCACTGTGGGGAACTGAAAGTTCAAAATGAATTTAAAATGTACATATTTATTAACTATCAGAACAATTATTTTTAGTTTTCCTCTCAATTTATGGCATATGCCATAGGATACTCTTCTCCAGGAAGAAAATAGGGTCCTGTCTTGAGACTGAGCTTTGAGTTCTAATTCTGGCTTTGTCCCATCGTAGCTATATTCTTTGGGCAACTTCTAACCTCTCTTTTGGCTTTCGCATCTATAATGTGGACTTAAGAAATCATGACTTATGGGATTGTGAAAATTCAACCACAAAGTCTTGGCTAAGCCCCTTACAGGGTATGCCTTATACTCTAGATCTTCTGAGAGGCAAGGGTGGTGAAGGATTGAACTTCAGCCTAGGAATAGGACTCCTGGCTCCACCAACAATGCATTTGAAGTCATCTAGGATGCCACTGGCCCACCCTCAACCTATACCATTGTTGCCAAGGTTTGTCTATAAGTAATAAGCTCAAGTAGCAGTTACGTGATGTTTTCCCATCTGGAGAGTAATTTAAATAAATGCAAAGCACCAGGCCTTTACAATAGATTATAACAGAAGCATAAGACTACTGGAAAACTGGGAAGTTGAGCTGAGAGGTCTACACTATTCCTTGGAATGCAAACCTGCTCTGTTTGGGCATGCTTAAATAGATGAGGCCAGCTGGACCTAAATGTTGTCAGCCACACTCAAGTAGTGTGGGAGTGCTAAGCCTTGCTGCATATTGGTTGAGTCACTAAGCTTCATGGATAATATCAGCAGAGTGTGGTGGAAAAAATGAGTGGAAAAGGCTTACTGACAGCAGTAATGTCTTTCACCCAGAAACAGTGGTTGCCGCCTCCCTGTCTGGTGAAACTCTTCTTTCTATCTTTTGCTTTTGTGTCATGTTAATTTTATCTGGTCTTTTCTAATCCACTCTTACTTCACACATCATTAACTCTTCAGAAAACATATTTCTGATACAATCACCGACTGGGCACATGGAGGATTGGAAGACTGAAATGCCTCCTGTTAGTATTCTCTTTCTAATAACAAACCTGATTCTCTTGCTAGTTTCAGAGTCAAAACTGCCAGGAGCGATTTAAGCTGGTTTCTGTTTTGCCTCATATGACATCAGCAGAAGCTGCCCTTTGTGTTTCATTTGCTCAGAATTTATGACCAGGGAGAGTGTCAAAAGCAGAAAAGACCCAGCTGGGCTTTCAGATCCCTAACGAAAGGAGAGTAGAGAAAGAGGGAACAATCAAAAGCATGACTAACATCAAGGATTTGGTGTGAAAACCCCCTTCCTTTAACTCAAAAACTAGAGCTAATGGAGAGCTGTTTGCTGGGTGGGTGCACAATTATGATCCTGATATATTACCCATGATTATTTTACCCCAGCTAAAACCTTACCATGAGGAACACTTCGCATGCATAATCAGCTAGAAGGACAGAGCTGGGTGATGTGCTCTAGAGGGCTGGCCAAGTCCCAGAAGTGCAGGGCAAAGCACACCATTGCTGCTCCTCCATGGCCCAAAGATGGCTGTTTGTCTCCACAGGGCCCCTAACAAACACTCAAGGACCAGATAGAGTTGTTCTGTGACAACAATGATTCTTTTGATTCTAACTGTAATGATCCTCTTGATGCTTATAACGTCTGGGAAGATCCATGCAACTGCTAAACTACTTGACAGCCTGTCATCTAATAACTGAGGTCTGTATAAGTACTTTAAGGCTCTGATTTAAAATTGTGAAAACATACAAAAAGCACACAGTAAAACATACACACACGCACACACACACACACACACACACACACACAAAACCAGAGATCATTCTAATCTATATAGTTCACTATTAATGGAAACAGGTAAAGGAATTTGGGACATACTCTACCCAGGCAAACACTAGGAAGACTTCTACTCCGATTAAAATTTCAAATGTACATTGAAACTCTTTGAAACCAAAGATAAATGGTTACCAGGGTCCTTCTTAGATCACTAATCCCCATCTAGGCCAGTCTGGAAAATCTAAAAGGCCCTCTGAGAACAAATGGCTTTAGGAAGAGCTCCTAACCCCTTTGCAGGGTGAATGCAGCACATGGAGCCAGCTTGTGTGTTCAGCAGGATGGGTGCTATCACAGTGGTGCGAGAGGCCCCTCTCATTCAGGCGTGTGAGCAAAATCATTCTTAACTTAGATCAGCCAACATTAATTTATTAACCTTTTACTATGAGTTAATTGTAATATATCATTTCCCCCCTTGATATCCTCAGTAACATGATGGCTGGGGCCAGGGAAATAGCTCAGTAGAATAAGCGCTTGCCTGGCAAGCTCAAGATCCTGAATTCAATCCCCAGTACCAC